AGTCCGGAACCCTTGAGTTGAGTGACGTTCACCAGGTTTATTTACCACAAACTTACCCTCAGACGCTGCTATGTGAATACGTACTAGAAACACCTACAAGGGGAATATGATGGGCATCATTTCATAAATTTAAGTGAACACAGACCTCTATTCACAGGATACTGTTGCACTAAATAACTTCAGAAAATACTGCTAAGATGTCTGCTTAAAGTACAGCTCCAAAACTTAATGTTTAAAATCTCAGAAAGATGGGTAGTAAGGGCCTCTCAGTCATCCAACTTTCTCCAGACAAGACGTCATTACGGTTGTCTGCAATAGCATAATCCCACTGGCAGAATGAAGCACCACTGCTATATTTGAGCCCAGTAAAGAAATACCAATAAACCCCCCAAATTTTGTTTACTGTGTTGAACGCTGTCAGCGGGCAGCTCTATTCCCTGGTCCTCATACTCCGCGAGCAGGCTCGCTCAGCCTCCCAGGACGGAGGAGCGCTGAAGTCATTTCTGCACAGTTCCTCTTTTCTTTCCCACTGCTTTCCATGGCAGAACTGGAAAGGGGGAGGCTGATTAAATTTGAGATGAGACATCCTTACCATGTAATAATATGAGGTCATTTACAAGGAGGAGGCAGGTCTGCGAGCTGATAAGGAATCGTCTCCTCTCGGAGATGGTTAAATGAAACAAGGATGGGGTAGTTCATATACTATGGTCTTTATCTAAGTATATAAAAAAGGGTATATGTAAGCATATACTATATATATATCTTACAGATATAGTATATATCTATTTATAGCATATATGTCTATGTATGCTGATTTATGTATAACTTCTCTTTTCTGGAAGCAATTGCAAGTGCCAGGGCTTCCCACTAGACAGCCAGGAACAGGCCAAAAAATGCCAGCAGTGTGAATTATAAAGGAAAACTGCACCGAGACCACAGGGAAAACGTGTGGAAGATGGAGAGGAGGCGGCCCCTCAGGCACGAACAGGTGCCACGGGTTCAGCCTCCCAGGCCACGGTGCTTCTGCAGCAAAGCACATATTAACTTTGCTCAGTGAACAAGGCAAAGTCAGGTGGGGTTTGCAAGTTCGAAATTTCCCCATGTTCCTGATAGTGTGGAAAAGAGGGTGGGCTGGGTCGCTGCTATTGATAGGCGAATCAGCACTGACTTTGTAAAAAGGAAATTGGAAGTAGAAATTACATGCCTTCAGTGTACCTGTCGTCTGGCCCAGAAACGTCATCCCAGTATATGTGTCCTGAGGAGATAATTAGTTGCAATATGAGAGCTGCTATAGTTTTATCATAGTGAATAATGAGAAACGAGCTGCAGGAATTTCTAAAATGTAACTGTGATTAGATCATTTGCTAAAATCCTTAAGTGGTTTGTACCCACTGCCTCCAGATGAAGTCCAATTTCCTCAGTGAGCCGTGGACGACCTCCAAGACTTGCTTCCTTTCCCAGCTGCACCCATGCTGTCTTCACTACCTTCCTGCCCTGCAGGCCCCTATCCACATGCAGCACCTCAACATCTTGGCATATCCCACAAGGGTCAGCTGGCCTGCATGCAACCCCAAATGCCTGGTATGCTATTCTTGTAACACCTACATACATCTTAGGACCTCAGTTCATGTACCACCTCTCCCGGGAAGCCATTCTTGACCCTGAACCTCCCAATACCATAATATAATCACTAACTTCTCTGTCCACTTTATTAGACTAACCTAAGGAGGGGTGAGACTTGAATTCAGATCAGAGCTCTTCCTAGAACCACACGCCACAGAACCACCATCCACCACTCAGGAGCTCTGCAGCCACTGGGCAATCCCCTCACCTCCCTGCATTCTGGCTTCCTCTCCCCAAAAATGCATCCTCACGGGGTCATTGTGAAAATTAAAGGGAAGACAGTGTGACACAGAAGAAGTTGTTACCGTTGTTGTGAGAAAAACAGATGCCTGAAATACAACCTAATTTGATTTTAGCAAATATGACTTCCACAAATGGCGAAGCCAAAATAGCAATGAAGAAATTGTACAAAATGTTCTAAATTCTGTCCTGTTTCCTTGGTTTTCACATACGGAAAAAACAGGAGAGGGGGGAAACATGGCAGCCTGAAGTCTTGCAAATCTCGTAGAAGCCAGGAAGGCCCCCGGGAGAGGACTCTGAAACGACGAACTGTATCAGATGTCAACACATTCCACAGCTGAAAGCTCAGAGGGTCAAAACTGCAGTTGCCTTGGCTTAGCTTTATAAGGTATAGGTTTAATTTTTTCCTAATTAAAGAAAAAAGAAGCTCTTGAACATCGCTCCCTGTGTAAATTCAGAGCTCGGCTCACGGTAAACCACTTGGCAGGCTTTCCTGGAGGGATCTGGAACGCAGCTATGTTCATCTTCTCCTTCAGCGTGTCAACAAGCAAGCATCCCCAAGCCACAGAAGACAGTGGCAATAAAAGGATGAACTGGAAGCTGAGAAATGTTGCGGTTTTGTGTGGAAATCGAGGGAATGAATAGGCAGAAGTGGTGGGAGGAAACTATAAACTTCACTCTAGACAGTCAGGAACAGGCCAGGAAACGCCAGCAGTGTGAGTTATAAAGACAAACTGCACCGAGACCACAGGGAAAATGTGTGGAGTGGGGAGGAGGCGGCCCCTCAGGCACGAGCAGGTGCCACGGGTTCAGCCTCCCAGGCCACGGCGCTTCTGCAGCAAAGCACATATTAACTTGGCTCAGTGAACAAGGCAAAGTCTGTGGAGTCTGAAGCCACTGTAGCTTACATGCTATCACCCTTTTCCAATTCAATAAAATGAAAACTATTTTCAGACCCTAGGGACTATCTGATCCAGTGGTTCCCAAATTTGGATGCATCCCTCCAAATCACCTGAGGTTCTTGCTAAAAATGCTGGTGACAAACTCATAGAGGTGGAAAATAAAATAGATGTTACTGGGGCTGGGGGTGGGGTGGGGTGGGGGAGTTCATCTTTAATGGGGACAGAGTTTATGTTAGGGAAGATGAAAAATTTCTGGAGATGGATAGTGGTGATGGTGGCACAACAATGGTAGTGTACTTAATGCTACTGAACTGTATGCTTAAAAGGTTTAAAATGGTCATTCTTTAAAATTGAAATATAATGGACATACAAATATCCTATTAGTTTTAGGTGTACAGCATAGTGGTTCAATATTTTGATATGTTACAAAACGATCTCCAGAATAAGTCTAGTTACTATTGGTGGCCAAACAAAGTTATTACAGTTATTATTGACTACATTCCCTAGTTTTATTGACTGTACATCCGCAGGACTTATTTATAACTGGAAGCTTGTACCTCTTAATCCCCTTCATTTATTTTATGTTATGTATATTTTAACATATTTGTAAAAAAATACCTGGCAGAACAAACAAACACAAATGCTCCCGGAGTGTCTGACTTAGTGGAGCCCAGAAATCTGCATTTTAAATTGCACCACAGGTGATGCTAATGAAAATGATTTGAGCACCCACTTTAAAACATGGTGTTGTAGTTATCAAAAAAAGAAAAAAAGGAATCCTTCTGTTTTAGAGATATGCCCTGACATATTTACAAATGAAATGATACAGTAGTTGCGATTTTGCTTCAATAATGGCCCAGGGGTGTGGGGGCACGTTGGTGGGGTGGGTGAAACTAGAGTGGCCTGAGTTGGTAACTGTTGAAGCTGGATGGTGAACACCCGGGGTTCACTATACTATTCTCTCCTCTTTATATAAGTCTGAAATTTTCTATAATCACACACACAAAAAGCTTTTGCAAAGACTTAATCAGGCTGGGGCCATTCTGCAAAGAGAGGAGAGGGTGACTCGGGGATGGAAGGGAGCCACAGCCCACTGCGGTCGGGGAGCGCCGACGGTTCAGCGTGGCTGGAGCGGCCCATTCAGGTCAGAGCAAGGACGTGGTTGGAGATGACGCGGGGTGCCACCCTGCTGCGTCCTGACGGTCTGGCGAAGGAGCGTGAATCTTTGGGCCACGGGGAAACCCTGGGGCATTCTGAGTGCTGGAAAGAAAGGATCCACTCTGTGCCTCAGCGGGACTGCTCTAAGGACTTTGAAGAGGAGTTTGAGGGGATCAAGTGGGGAGCACAGCAGAAGGCTGCTGCAGATGCCCTGGTAATCGATTTTAAGACCTGGACAAGGATGTGGTGGGAGAGGAGAGGAGTCAGAGCTCGGGAAGATCTTAGCAAACAGGACTGGCACACCGCAGTAGTTAATTACACATAAGGGAAGAATGAGGAAGACGGACAAATGCCTCCAGCTCTAACTTGGGATGCCAGACATTAACCGAGAGGACATCCCAAAGAAAGAGCAATTATCTAATAGTGTTTCTGAGAATAAAAGCTCCTGGTGGAACCCAGCATTCTAGGCTGAGAACTCTATGACCTTCCTCGTAGGACAACTGCGTACGTACTCCCTTTCCGGCTGTAAACCGCGGCCTTTGTATGGGTTCCTTCCCTTACAGACTCATAGGAGGCCAGGGTTGGAAGAAGGTTCCAGTAGCATTTAGCCTAAAGCCTCCTTGTACAATTGGGAGGTATGGAGATGTTAATGGACTTACCTAAAATCCTTATGATATTTTTTAACATATGTAAGGCTGTCCTAACTTCAAAAACAGCAGCGGAATCCAACATACATATCTAACCACTCTTTTCTACCGACTTGACTGCCCACCTTCGCTCCTTCTTCAGTCAAATACCCATTCCTTCTAATCTGGAATTCGTTTCTTGAATCTCCGCAGTATTTATTTATCCATGCTTTGTATGGTATTACCCTAAAATGAACTGTGTGAGACATCCTTGTTCACGTACATGGCCTTCCCTCCATCATCGCAGTTTCCCCTTGGCTTTCTGTGGGCTTCGAATGCGGTCTGCCGGGCCCCCGTAAACTCTGTTCCCGGTCTTTCTATCGGTGACCTTCCCTTGACCCTCCCTCCCTCTTCCACTCCAGTTCTCGCCGTCCACTCTCCTCATCCCCGCTTTTCCTCCAGAGCTCTAAGCTTCTGCCGTGAGCCCACCTCTCTGCTCAATCAGTTACTCTGGGGTCAGTCACCTCGCTGTCTACACTTGCTTCCTCTGGATTCAAATCCAGGCCGGACAGCCGTCCACGTGGCAAAGTGCTGTGCATGTCATAGTGTCACATGTTGATTCTCTCAGCACATGTAACTAGAGGCACGGTGCCTTCTCAGAGAGAAGCCATCCACGTGCCCCAGGGCGCCCTGCTGGGCTGGAGCACAGTTGCCAGGGCCACCGACAGATGAGAATGGGTTCTGAAAACAGCAACGAGGTCAGCGGGGGGTCTAAAAACACCACCACATGAAAACCACTGAAAAGGCTAAGAATGATGAGCTTGGGAAAGGCAATGCCCTTGGGAACCAGCTTTCTTCAAGTTGGTGAGAACTTGCCCCATGGGGTGGGACATGGATGTGTTCTTTCTGTTTAAGAAAGCAGGAATCTGAAGGAGGTATATTTTAGCCCAATAGGAGGCTCAGGTTGCACACACGGGAATGACCTGCCTCTCGAAGCAGTGGGCTCTGCCATTGCTGAGGTGTTGAAGGAGAAATGTCTGCTCTGAGAGGGAAGTGGCCTCCGAGACCCCCTTTCCTCCAACGCCCTGGGAGTTACTCTCCCGGCAGAGAGCCTGTCAGCACCACAGACAGCACACACTGGACGTGGATTCAGCCATCCTGTCCAACTAGCCGCGTCAATCATTGGTGCTGCTGTTCTCTTAGGCTCCTGCACTGGGAATCCCGAGCACCTTGGACTCCTAGCTCTTGTCAGATCCCTATACTTCCGCCTCCAGAACGTTTCTTTGATTTTTCTCTTGATTATTAAATTCCATGGATACTGTTACTATCCACACTTGCCAAATCACCCATAGATAAAAGTCATTGGATTTTGTGATTGGAATGGTCCCTGGCGGGACAAAGCCCAACCTGTGTACTTATAAGTCAGGAGAATGAGACACAGAAAAAATTAGACACTTGTCTGAGGTCACACGGTTACAAGTGGTGGTTCTAGACTGCATGTCTCCTAGTGCCGTGTTCTGTCCGTTGTCCCAAACCTCAGGAGCTCCAGGGTTCTTTATCATCATTCGGGCCGCCCTGATACATTTCAACTTAGTGGGCTTTATAGAGATCGGCCACGACTTAACCACGGGATGGCTGGTTTATTTGTACAATCCTGTGATGGTCCCTGGTCAAATCATATTTGTGAATCTAGATCTAGGAATTATCCCCGTTCTCTTAATTGTAAGAGACGTCTGGGTCTGCTTTGAGCTGAATGACAGTTCTTTCCTGTGCTTCTCACAGATACTGCCAAAGGAAGACAGATGAATTGTGAAATAAAGAAGAATTCTAGCCAGCTCGACCTCGCTAGAGTCTGCAAATCCAGGTCATTTGGACTGGAAATCTATCACTGCACTCCAACGAGTACAAAACACCCCTCTATCATGTTCTCTGGCTGCACCCCAATGACCCCGTGAAAAGTTCTGGACTCACACTGGTTCTTCCGCTGCGATTCTGCTCTCTTCTATTTCTTGTGCTTGTTTCAGCCAAGGTAATTTAGCTTCCACTGGGCCTTTTTCTAAGAAAAGAGGAATATAAACATCAAGTTTAATTATTGTTACCCATTAAGGAGTTGGATACATGATCGTTATTTGTCAAAGACTTCATGAATAAAGCAGTCGTGCCTTTTAAATGCAAGTTGCGTCCTTGCACTGTACAGGAAGTGGCTTCTGGATTGAACCAAAAATTTGCCCCATTTCTTTTTTTAATCAACACGTTATCACAACGGGATGCAGCAAACCATCCATGGCACAGTTGAGTATGTTCTTCAAGTGAATGTAAAATGCCTTTTATAAATCAATACCAGTTTCTGCTGTGTCGGCATATCGCAGCTCTTCCTTCAACCACATCAGCTTGCTTTTGCCACACTTTCTTTTTTGTGCGTTGAATGAAGAAATTAATAGAGGACAGCAAATAACACAGAGGTTTAGAAAACTGGGAGGAGGAGATTCTGTGCAATGGTTCACTTAAACTTTTATTGTAGCTGTTGAGGTAGACGATTGCCAATTACCGCTGGCATGCAGGAGCAAGCCAGTGCCCTTTCTGTCCTTGAATCTTTCTAAGACGTGAAGAAAGAACAATCTAGTTACGAAATGAGAAAGAGAATCATTGAGGGCTGCCTCAGGGAAATCACACACACCAGCAAAGTGGCTGTGGAAGTGCAGCAGGAAGGAGAAAAAGACGTCACTGATGAAGTTACACAATCAGTATTTACACCTTGCGTGGCAGCCAGTAATTTTTCTTGAAGAGAGGGTTAAGTATTTGCTGAAAGGTTAATGATGAGGCAATTTGTATGGCTGATAAACCCAGAAATAATGAGGGAGCATTTCCCATCCCCTCTCCAGTCCTGAAGACCCCTCTTTCCATTTCCAGAAAGGAAACACTTGCCGTAACTGTTGGTTGCACCTCACTGAAGTGTAAGGAGATAATCACGTCTAGAAAGGCGCACACATCTTAGAGATGATGCCACGACCCCCTATCCAGGGCTGCTGCCATTTCTGCCAGTTCATGCGGCACAGATGGGAACTACAGAAGAGATTCCAAAATGCATCTGCAGATCTACACTGACCACTGGGATGCATTCTTCCCTCATTCCACAGCGGCAGCAGGACACACAGCCAACACGAGGCGCATCCTTCCAGCAGGAGGCGTGTGTGACGTGCTGAGGGCACAAAGGAGAAAGGCCGTGGGGCAATTTTCTGGCTCCTCTGCCCCTTCGTCCTCCTCCTTTCTTCCTCCCCTTTCTCTAACCCGCCTCATCTTCCTCCTTTGCTCCAACGCTGGGACTTTGCATCAAGAAATGTTAGTTTGAGCCTAGACAGACAGGAACCACTGCATGTACTGAATCAGCTAGAGCTCAGTTTTCCCTCCAGGTCAGTTCATCACACAGGCCCAACTTCTTTATGCACATGGACAAGTCTGTTTTAATTTCCAGGGAAAAGCTTTTTATACGAAAGTTGGAAAATTGAAATGTAAATGCCGCAGTATCAGACCAAGTGCTGGAAAACAGCACTGGATTTAACTTGAAAATGCACCGCAAGCTCACCTTTTGGTTTATAACACGGCACGGGAATGATACATTCTTCCTTGATGTGTAACTTCAGCTGCGGGTTACAGCCACCGACGTGCTGTCCGCGGTGGCTGACGCACAGGACGACCCGGTACCGCAACCCGCGGCCGCAAGTCACCGTGCACTTCAAAGAAGAAATGAGAAGCCGGTGAGATTCTTGTTCATGAAGAAATCACAAAGGCATTAACGTCTCATACACAGGGTAGCCACTGATCTACATGAATGTTAAACACAAAGTGTTAAAAACAAAAAGTGAGATAATAATATGTACAGAAAGCGCTAAGGCTGATCTTCTATGATTCCTACGCTTCGGGGCCTCTCCCGTACAAGGCCTCCGTCCAATTATCAGCCTGAAAAGTATTTCAGATGAGGTCACAGCTCAAGAAAAACTGATGTGGCCTGAAATCTTTCTGCTTAAATATGAAAGAAATTTGAAATAGGCTTTCTCAAATTTGATTAATAAAGTATGTGACATGATCCAGGGGCACCCCTCCCTCCCCCACAACTGTTTCCTCTGCTGTTTGCACATTGCATTTGTGTGATCGGTTGTTACAACTGCTGAGCCAATGCTGACACATTATGATTAAGTCCAGAGCCCATATTAGAGTTGTCAGGTCTAAAAAATGTGTGATTTCTAATCATTTCTTTATTATTCTAAATAAAAATTCACTTAGGTCCCCGATATTTTCATTTTGCGTTCTTTGTTCTTAAAGAGTCATCTCCAAATTGTATAAACCTCAGGCCCCACCAATCCAGGATCCACCTGCCCCCCAGGAGAGGCTGACGGTCCCGGGCATCCACTACAGAACAGGCACCATCCCGCCTCTGTGGCCTCACTACCTGTCCCAACACAGCTGTAGGTCAACGGCTCCATTCCCTTGAAAGGCGAGCAGACAAACAGCCCACTACCCTAGGACCTTGCCAAGGCCACGCGGCTCCTGTGAGGCTGACTGGGGCACGCCAGGGCGTCCTGTTGCCGAAGCCAGGGGTTTCCCACCTTTCCAGTTGGATGCATAAAGCTCAGAGCTTCCTTCCTCAGTGCGCAGATGCGCTCTGCATCACCCCAGACAAGCTCCCGGGGGCCCGGAGGCCTTTCAGAGCACACACACCCCTCCAGGAGGAGCGGAGCCAGGAGACCTCCCTCACTTCTGCATGTCCTCTGACGACCGCCGAGCAAAGGCCGTCATGAATCAAGGAGGTCTGGGAGGAGACCCTGCTTCTGGAAACTGATTCACCTACCCGTAAGATCTATCAACTCGAAATACATATGATATTGACAGGCTCTTTAATACTGACCAAAAAAGAAAACAAAAATTCTGCCCAAAGAGAAAGAAAGCAATATGAGCAGGCTGGCGAATCCAAAGGCATATCAGGTCCTGCCCAGGCTCTCCAGGAAGCTGGACACTTACCCAGCAACGCCCTCAGCGTTACATTCCCAGAACTCCTCTCTGGAGCTTAATAGATCCTTAATGATCCCTGAGGATGTACTTGATTTTCTTTTTTTAATGAAAAGTATTAAGAGCCAAAAGGAAGTGAGTAGGTTAACAATCTTTGTTTTGAAATGGTAAGTGATGATAAAGTCATGATATTGGTGGGGGTGGGGGTGGTGATACAGCAGTCAGCACAGGGGTTCAGGTAGGACTTCTAAGAGCTGAAACAAACCCTGCAGGTTATGGAAGGAAAGCGTTGATTTCAGATGCTAGATCATGCTGTGATCGTGGGCACAGAGCTTGGTTCCAAGAACTGAATGACGTTGCGGTAATAAAATCCTTCCATCTCTGTTTATTTATGTCAACAAGCTTTCCCAGTGTATATGCAAAACAAAACAAGAAATTAACAGAAAAACCAAGAATAAAATGATTGCTGAAGCCATATGTCATTCTGGCAACAGACTATTTTTAAGTGACACTCAGTTTCGTAGAAAGACTGACTTCAAATGAATTTTATGTGTAGTATATTTACCAAAGCTTGAAATATATTTTGTTGTGTTTCAGGGTGTATTAAAATTTAATAACAACAATCCAGGGGCACATTTCTCATACTTAGAGCCTCAGGGCCACAGGAACTTAAAATAATTTCAATTGCTATACACATTTTCTTGGAGTAAAGAGGAGTAGTGTAATCAATAAGATATTTCAAGCAGAGAAATGCATTATATTAGGATAAATGTCCATGGGGAGAGTGGATTAAAAACATTTCATTCAAGGGGAAAAATGCAAAACACCCAAATCATTCAAGAAGAGCTGGTTTGTGTGTTTTTTCAGCGAAAGATGGTGAGAACAGGAATCATCAGAGCATTTACATTCCACTGGACACATTTTTAAAATGCTGTTGACATGTTTACTTGAAAAATGTCGGCGTTGACAGCATGTTGGAAATGACATCTGTTGACATTTTTTATTTAAACTTGAGATAAGAATATTTGAGATGTCAACCTAAATATCTGTGAAGGGGTATGTAATTTTCCAAACGTCTTTTTAGAGCGCGCATGAAAAAGAATTAATAACACATGGCAAATCATCATTAAAATCTGAAATTTAACTGGAAGTGGCACGTTCTCGGGCCTTACCTGAGACCACTCCATGGCGACCCACTTGGGACAGTCAAACAGATTGCAGGTCTGCATGACCTTGGGTTTGGGGGCGTACATGCACTTCCACTCGTCCACCTGCAGGACCTCGCCGTGCATGGACTCCTCCACACACACGAAGCTCCGTCTCTGAATCCCGCCTCCACAGGACACTGAACACGCCGTCCAAGGATTATGTTCCCAGCTCAAAAGCAAACACGCAACACCACGTTATTTATTTGCTCTTTCTTTGTTTCTTTCAACTTTGCAATGATGGTTGCTTCGAGTACAGCTTCCAGACACCAGGTGTGGTTCAGCTGAAGGAGTGGGGCATTTACGGTCCCAAGACTTTCATCTTAACTGCCACCCACAAGCGACAGCCACACGTGGTAACTCCTCTGTCCCTGAGGTCACTGTCAACTGGGAATCATATTCCTGCCTCGCTCCCTTTCAGAGGGCCATTCTGAGAATCAAACTAATTAAAGTTCAGAGTGTGAAAACATCTGTACAATGTCTCTGAACTGTAAACACTAGTGGATAATACTACTAGAGAGTCATAAAAACTCAAAGCCAGAGAGGACCACACTCATCATCTGGGTGCAGAAGAGGATGCAAATTTCCGATTATTTTGAAACCCTTGCGCTCTGTGTAATACCCAGTTATCCAAAATAGTGCTCCACCTCCAGGGACGGGACACGTCGCCTCTAGGACCAGCCTAGCTGTCTTGTTCTTAAAAAGAGCTTTCTTACTGAATTGAAGTCTGTTTCCCCTCAGTTCTCTGTAAACGGTCTTGTACCTATTCCTCTTAACATTTTAGGCCATTGCTAACAGGCACTACAGCTCCTTGCAAACTACTCAGAGCGGATTACAGAACGGAACAGGAAACAGTAACTCACCGTGGGAGAGGTTGGAAGTGGTCATAGGGCATGATCTCTTTAAATCCATCACTACAAATGAAATCGTTGTGAAAATATCATTTCTAAGTCAAGGAGTATACTGATTGATTTGACTAATACAGATTTAACATCCCCAAAGACAGAGCTCTTTCAAACTGAAAACTAAATATGAGAAGGGTTGTGAACTATTTCCCCAGATTCAGCCACTGTCTCCTTAAGTTGCAGGACCATCTCTAACACACACCATCCACCCCCAGTTATATGAACATACAGAAAATGGAACTAGTGCTACACATTAATCAGAGGAAAGAGTTTCCCTTAATTCACTTAAGTCTATTCCCTTGTTGTGATCTAAAAAGCTTATTCTGATAAAACACATTGACAATATTAACACACTGTCATATTAGTAGGATCTTCAGAAAACCGTTTTATTTCACCGAATTTGTACTTTTAAAAGGTCTCTAGTAATAACTCTGTTCACTCAGGATAACAGGAAATGGGCGGGTCAGTAGTGAAACCCACTGAGTACGCTTCCTTTTCCCCTTGCACACTTCTACCTTAGCCAGCTGGCAGACAGATATCTGGGTGGCGGGGGTTGGGGCTTGATATTGCGTTGTTATTTTAAGATACAGTACTAAAGCCAGGAAACTTCCTCGGGCAATTCAACTCAGCAGGCACTACTACCTTCTGCAACAGGATAGTTTATGCATAGCTTTCCTGCTATGGCATTAAAACTTTTTTACTTCCTGGCACAGTGCATCATTTATACCGAATTGAATGTGAACATTTCAAAAGTCAAAATGTGGCAACGGGTGATGCAGTTTAAATCTAAAATGCTGAGTTCAAGATACTCGTGGTTGGCAGATGGACTAGACATCCTACTTAGGTGGAAATGCTTTAGAAGTGCAAGAGATTCATTGTAACAGGTTCATTATAAAGTGTTCAATGTCACGGCACCTGGACCCAGCCTAGGACGAGTGAGCCGAGGAGCGGGAACTCTGACCACAGCCACGGGTGCGGCCGACTGTCCCTGCATGTGTCCCAGGTCATGGACGGAAACGCCCCGCTGCAAAGACCGAGCTGTCTGAGCTGCGGCTGATTTCTTTCCAAAGCACAAAGGGCAGGGGTGACAATGCAAACCTTGATGGGCAAGGGTCCATGCTGCACTCCTTCAGTTTGGGCTTGGGCTTTACATTTTCAGGGTAGTAATGGCAATAATGGTCAGGAACCACCCTCTTCAAGCGGATATCCACACATTCGGCAGAATTGAGCTGATAACCTAAAGGGAAAAAGGAGTCTCAATATTCTGTCTGGGTCACTTTTACTTGACTAAGTTATCCCTTGTGTCCACTTAAGAAACTCAATCCAGGGGTCCTCAGCCCTGGCTACACCGCGAACCACTTGTACACCAGTGTCCAGGTTTCTCCACGGTCCAGTTACAGAAGAACAGGCAGCTCAAAACTCAATGTTTGAAAAACAGATTCTCAGGGGCTTCTAAGATGACTAAGATCTGTGGCCAAGAATGACTAGTTGAACTAATTGCGATAGTTTTACCGATTTAACTAAAAAGTTACAACAGATCCCTTTAAAAACTGCTCGGGCCACTGTGCAGAAGGCCAGCCATTCCTGGGCACTCTGCTCACTGTCACCTCCAGCCAGGGGGCTGCGCGAAGCCCCTCTCTGGTTTCCTGATTTCCTCTCCTTCCCCATCACCACCCCCGGAGACACCTACGCACAGCGTCTATGCCCTGAAATACGCATCTGTCAGGTAAGGTTGTGTGGTATCTGTCTTATCTGAGCAGGCGACACTGTCTTCAGTCCTGCTGTTTTCTCCATTTCTCAGGCAAGGTTACATTTTGAGAGCCACCCCCTGTCTCCCCACTGTGGCATAGACCACACTTCAGTGGTTTGCTGTCCTGGGGCATCAAGGGTGCCTCTGAGGCCAACTAACTTCTGCAACTGGAGAACAAGTACTGTCCATATAATGGGGAGATCAGAACCCCCCACAAACCTTCCCCTGCTCACAGGCCTTCAGAGGAGAAAGAAGGAGGTCTGACTCCCGATTCTCCTAGATTCAATTTCCACAGCCTCTGGGGAAAGTGAAGATTACAAGCAGACGAGGGCCATACAAAAAAAAAAAAAAAAACAACTCCCAAAATGATGCTAATATTTCCTGAAAGATCTGGTTCCAGGATTCTTGTCACTATATAAGTGTCATGTTAAGTTAAAAAAATAAAAAGATAATTCAAAACCAGAATGCTTTTCAGGGGGGGAAAAAAAGGCCTCGAGCTAAGCTGTCACCCTCAGCCAATTGGTCTTCAGGTCTAAAAATACATTTAAAGGCCTGATTGCCGAGAGGAATCTGATTTTGTGGACCAGGAGACAGCTTTGTGCAAGTCACGCCTTGGATGTCGGCTGAGTGTAGAAGCACAGACTCATGTGCATCATGAAAAGCAAGGTCGGAGCCACAAGAATGAACGTCCAAGTGGAGAGTCAGTAACATGATACTCGGGCACCAGTATCTGCCAGAAAGCATGCAACGTCAGACGGCGATTGCAATCTCGGTATTTTCTCCAGACCGATCTTACGTGTCCCCCGCACATGATTAGAGAAAGGACCATCCCCGTACCTTAGAGACCAGTGAACTAATTTCCCTGATTACCCAAAAAGCGTTGAAGTGCCATTTATACAAATCATGTAGATTTGATTACTACGGTCTTTAAAGTTTGGTAATGCTTTCCTTGTGGTGTTTTTATTTTGTGGTGTGCTTTTACTTTCCCCCAAACGAGAATGACATTGCAGCTCCTCGAATCAAAATAGAACCTTTGTTCTAAATGGAAACCTACTTCTAGGAGACAAGGCACACACAGGTGTTCACAGTTTGAGGAGAGACAATTAATTTTCCTCTTTAATTTTAAGGCAGGACAGAGAACCTAAAGGTGAAATAAATGAGGCAGACCGCCTTCCTATTTTATGAACAAATGCACTGAAATTCTACCAGCATGCAGAAAATGGCAGGCTGCAAGCGGACTCCCAGAGGCAGCCTGAACGTGCCCTCTGTTCTCAGGGTCACCGCTCTCTTGGGCAGACAGGCTCCCTTCTGGATGCTCCTGCTGAGGGTTCCGACAGGGCTCTGACAGGGCTGAGCGTGTGTCCCTAGGGCACCCAAGTCCGAGACACATGTGTTCTCTTGCTGAGAATTTAACCAGCTGAACTAAGCTGAGTCCCTTTATAAATGTTCCTCCCAGAGGAGAGGGTTTCCCTTTGTCTTACGTGTCTACATGGGATCATCCCTGATAACTGTGTGAGGGCTGGTGAATAAATAAAAAAACCAGAGATGGTTGCTACTCTGCTGAGTTAATTTAAAAAAAATAATAATCCCACGATCTCTTTGCTTTCATTCTGGCGTCCTTGAGAGACTCCTGCCTTCCTGGAGCTGTGGCCCACCTGCCTGCAGGTCGGTGGGATTCTGCTCTGGATGTAAAACACACTGGTTGGGACCTACAGGTATATCCCACTCATCCTGACAGTGTGAGAGTCATGTGTGCATCTCATAACTATCACCAGAGAATGCCAGGAGTGGGGACAGCCCTGGCACCCGGAATCCCAGGAGGGGGGATCTGTGGGTTATACCGAGGCATTTTTGGCAAACTCAGGTTTAGGTTCTGACATGAGGTGTCTCCTGAGTACCCACGACTTGCCAGGCGCTGTACCGATGCTCTTTGCCATTCATCATCTCATTCTGTCCCTCAACAACGCTGTAAGGGGGATCGTCCCACCCCACAGATGGGACGACGGAGGCTCAAATGTGTCTCCCAGTTGACTGGGGAAAAAGCCAAGAAGTGAGTGCAGATCCTTGGACGCCGACCCGACTGCCCCTGCATGCTCTGCCTCCAGGGCCCTGCCAGCTCTTGCTGGAGACTTCGCCACCCTATTTTGGGGAACAGGATTGGTCCAGATGTGCGCGTCTCAGGCCCGGGTTGCAAGGATTCACTGCATTTACCCAGATCACAGTCTCACCTGCAAACAGTGCTTCACCTCACTTGGCTTCGAGGGAGGACAAATGTTTGTAAGAATTTCCCTTACAGCCTGCTGCAAAATCCGACGCTCAAAGGGCTGAAGCTAAAGAAGTACTTGCCTCAGAGCAATGTTTATAATATTCAACAAGATACATTACTTCTGTCAAGAGAAACAGAATAAACGGAGAGGACCTGAGAGCTGGCACGACTTAAAGTCCACTGATCTGTTTTCGTTGTACTTCTTTCCGAATCGGGCCCTATTTATGACAAGAGAGGAGGGTTTTCTGCTTCAGGTAGTAATATTAAATTCTTTTTGGAAACATTAATTTTTTTTAAAAGGTTCATTTAAAGAAAACACCCTAAGTGCGTAACAGTGCAGGGGTGACGCACACAGGGCCACAACAGCGATGTGAATACACAAAGGCACTTCTTCAGAGAGGCGGCTCTCAAGCTTGAGTGCACACCCAGCCTCCCGGAGGGCCCGTGAGAACAGACGGTCGAGCCCCACTCCGGAGATTCGGATTCAGTGAGGCCAGCGCGGGGCCTGAGATTCTGCATTTCTGACAGGTTCCCAGGAGGTGCTGGTCCAGGGACGCCCCTCTGAGAACCTCGGCTGCAGGTTTATGATCAAGTGGCCACTGCCTGAGCCTGACTTAGGAAGATGAACGAGACTAACTGGGAAGATTAATGGTTTACTTTCTTTCTAGTGTCCCATTCAATCCTCAGACTGTTTCTCTTCTGTTCCTAGGGACACCAGCTTCTTCTGGGATCCGGGTGGCCCAGGGCCCCTCGCAGAAGTGTCTGTCTCCTGATTTATTAAGAAGCCTAAATCCCAGAGGGAAGGGGTCCAGGCTGCATATTTATGGAAACCTGACATTGGCCGAGGAGCCCTCCTTGATACACATCACTTACAGGAGAGAGGGCAGAATCCCGGCTTGGTTCTGGCCCTCCGAGGAAGGAAGTGGATATTCTGTAGCCCTGGAGGGAACAGAAGGTTTGGGGCTGGGCTGAGTTAGGCTGGGCTGAAGGGGGAGGGCTTATTCTAGCTTTCCAAACAGAACCATGAGTGAGCCTGTACACGCTGACCAGCCCCATGTGCGGTGGGTGGTTCGGGGGAGACATGGGACAGTTACTTAGTGCGGGGCTCTGGCATCTAGCAGACCTGCAGCCAGACCCTGGCTGAGCTGTTCACTAGCTGAGCAAACTTGAGCACATTCTTTACCTTTCCTAAGTTTCAGTTTGCTCACACATAGGATGAAAACAGAGCTTTCTGAGGGTGGTTTGGAAGAACACATGTTGGCGAGTAGCCTGGCACGTGTGGCTTGACACCCGGCAAGTGCCCAGCTGCCTGGAACTCTCAGGGAAGAGTCAGCAAAAGTTCCTCTAGCAATTCTAGTAACTCATGGTTTCTTTGGACTAGTTAAGACTCTTCAATTTAGAAGTTCAGTTCAGAAAAAAGAGAGTCATCCTAATGGTGGCTCTGGTGGCCTTGTTTGCTCCAGAGGGTCACTGCTTCTCCACGGCAAACCCAGTTATCGTCCACCCAAATGTCCGCAGAGAAGTGAAGCTCGTGTGCAGAGCCCTCGGCTGCACAGGGCCCAGAACCCTCCTCAACTGCCTGTGCCATCCCTGGACTAAGCGCGCACCGAGCGGGACCTCCCCTTCTCCCTTAGCAGACACCCTTCGTCTTCTTGCTGAATGTATCCCTCGGCACCTGAGCCGAGACTGGCTGGAAATCTAAGCACCAGAACTAACCCATCCTTAACTGGACTAGGCCAGGCAAGTCGCTTGGTCTCTGTTTCTCAAGTTTTCCACAGAAAACTGGAAATACTATAAGCCTCATGGACGATCAGGAAGAGAGGTGCAAAAACGCATGTAAACAGGCTTCCAGCTTTTTGCTAAAAGCAAAGAGTGTTTTCCGAATCCCGTTTGCACCTATTCCCCAAGAAGGAAGCACATGCACACATCACCGCCCCCGCTACATCCCAGGCTGCGCAGACGCTGTGTGATGGCCTCTAATTACCTCACCAATTTTAAAATCAGCTTCAAACATGCAGATGCGTCATTTCCAACCCTGAGCTCTAACTACTCATGAACGCAGTCGGGGCCTCACCTCCTCCACACGTCACAGTGCAGGGAAAGAAGTCGGTCTGTCTCCACTGATGACTGACGGGCTGGTAGAAGAAGAACTGGACCACACTGTCCTTGGCCACAGGGTACCTGGTCTGGACAGAGAGAGCTGTGATAGCGCGGCTGCCTGCGGGGAGCCGGGGCTTCCCACACCCTTCAGAACGCGAGGCTACACTTCACTTTCATAGATGGTCACATGATTAACATAACAGACCAGAGGAATGAGTCCAAGAATTTTAACATGTGATGGATTTAGATTTGTCGTAAGTTGGGGTTCAGAAGATCTTCAACCAGTGTCCTGGGAGACATTTTTCCAGATAATTCCATGCCTGTGAGTTCAAAAATGTAGATGGACTTTTTAGTTTGTTTGATTGTTTAACATCTTTCTCTTCCTGATACATTTGATTTCAGCTTCCACAACAGCAAGGACTAAGGCACTCTGGGTTTGTTTACAACATGGCACATAAGTGGGTTCTTATATTTTTAATAATAACATCTTTAAGCAGATCCTTCTGAAAGCACGACTGCAGAAACTCAAAAGTAGATGAATATGTCGTGTTTACGTATAAGCATTCCAGTACCTAACCAAAGAGGCGCGGGGACACCCTAAGAGTGAGCAAGCAATGATTGACAGACATACGGTGATTATTTGCAAGCAGCAAGCTCTCTCTGTGCTTTTTTCTTTTCTTCTCTAATGATTGAACAAATGAATGAACTGAGGAAAACTCCCAGAATGCACTACAAAGAGAAAGAAAGGGAAATGAAAGTTAAGCTCATGGAGGACAGATCCAGAAATGCTGACATATATAGGAGTTCAAGACAGAGACAACAGGAGAGCGTAAAGGACACTGACTCTCAATGCTGTGCCCTGTGCTGTTTTGAAACGCACGTGAATACGTAAAGTCAGTCGCTGCCTCCACTGCCCTGCAAGACCATACATAGCCTGTTCTTTGAGAGGAAGGAAAACAGGTCAAATCCTTGTCCCTGGGGAGGTCAGAGGTGCTATCACAGCTCCTCAGAAGAAAAGAGATCTTTTGGAGGACATAAATATATCCTGAGGTTGGAGGAAACTGAACACAGAGGCGTGTATAACTGAGAAATAATGGAAAAGGCAGTAGAAAACATTTTCCCTCAGAAACACAAAATACCGGAGTGGGAGAAAAATGAGAGCAACTGGCATAAAAAGGAAGATTTCAGACCATGAGGAAGGGAGAGGTTTTCCCCCCGAAGATGGACGCCTGTCTTAAAAGAGGGGAGAAGCCACCAGCAATAGTAAAAATAGTTAAACATAGCAAGAGATGTCTTTATCAAAGCCATTTAACCTTTTATTAGGTGATTCTCATGGGCATAGACTTAATATTGACATTCACCAGCAGCTGCTCGCAGAGGCAAGCATTCGGTGAGTTCTCCCTGGATGGCAGTGCCCCTCTTACCACCCCGCCAACAAAGCACACAGCACCGGGAACTGGACCAAGACCCTCTGCGGCTACCTGGGGGCAGCATGCGCCTGTTAACGGAGCAAAGAGCAACACCTCCAGCTCTGAGACAAAATGTCATGACTCAGCAGGGCCATGACAACAGTCACAGTGAGAAACATCATTCAGGGAAACGAGAGAGGTCAGCGAGAAAGCCATGGGGGAGGAGAGAGAAGGGCAGGTCTCAGGAATGATCCATTTGCAGAAACACAGCTTCTGAAAAAGTAGAAAAAGAAATCTTGGTCTCACGGGGCAGTGCGTTGGTAGGACACACAGCCTACACGGCAATGACAGCAAAGGATCAAACGCCCTGTGGGTGTCTTCATATTTCACTCTCTCTGCCAGGACACAGCAGTTTTCGGCAGTCCATTTATTAAAAGTCTGTGTGATAAGGTTGCGTCCGGGAAAGAGCGTGTGGCGGTGTTCTTCGCAGCACACTGGCTGGGCAGCACAGTGCCCTAAGTGGGCACAGCTGGCCTTCCCCCCACACCCCCTCTCAGGCTGAAGCCAGGTCTTCCGGCTGTATGCCAGTTTCTTTTGATCGACTGGAATGGAAGCGATACAAGGAAACGCACGGCTGACCATCATCGGTGACCTCAACGCCCTTGACCTCCCAAAGCACAGCTGTTGCTCCACTGCCCCGGGGAGCCACAAAGACGTGAACTGAAGGGAGGAATCCGCATCTGAGCACACGGGCGGGGTGACACTAGTGGGGAGAAGTGACCAGCGGGGAGAGATATTTCCTAGAAACCCACACGATTGGACTTGTAAGTCAGGGAAAAACAACATCAGAGGCATGTAGCTTCGTTACATGGTCTCTGATTTTGCCAAATTCGCTCCACCGCACACACCACATCCATGAAGGACGGTGGCTGTAGGCATGAACATGAGGCTCAGTTTAAAACCCTCTTTGATAAATACCTATTTTAAAAAGCCTATTCAGTCAAGAGAGATCTAAAGCTTTCCAGAGGTTGAAGTTAAAGCCCAGAATTATTTATTAAATCTAAGAAAACTAGGACTCAGAGACGGGAAAATAGGACACTGAGTACTAATCAGACTGTGGCTATATGCTACTAAAATGTACTCTAGTAAGAGGTGAATACATAATTTGGGCAGGAAGGTGTCAAATTTTTAATTATGCAAGGGATATATGAATATGTTCTTTGTAAGAATTACTTTAAGTATTAGAATAGTGTAAGTAAAACTGAAATCACGCCCCCAGAGCACCTATTCCCTCTAAAAAAGCCATCGTTTCTCCTGTGGTTCCAGTTTGGGGTATATCCTCTCAAATCTTAAGAAATATAGGTGCACACTCACAGAAATATATATTTGTGCATATGCACTTCTCTGCATGGTGTCAAAACACAACGTATTCCCCACGCTGGCACCACTAGACATTTTAGCCTCGATGGCCATTGTCCCATCCCAACACTGGGCTGCCTCCTGGCCTCCTGCTCAGTCCGAGGTCTCCATGCTGCCTTGAGAAGAATGCAGGTCTCTGAGTAGGAATGAAGGGAGAATTTTTTTTTTTAAGTGTGTGTGTGTTTTACTACCTGAGAACCAAACGGGAAAGGCCTACGAGGAACAAAACAAGTTTATGGTTCATGCTCGACCATGGATGAGAGAGAGAGGACAGACAGACAGGCGGCACCTCTGACCTTCCAGAAGGACAAGAGCATGGGACCGATGCTCTGAGGGCCCGACCCAGAAGTCCCTTCAGTGCCTGAGAACGGCAGTGGGAATGGCTGTGAAGAGCGCCGGACGTGCACACCTGCACCATCAGGAGCACAGCGGGGAGCAGTGCGGACTGCGGCAGGGAGGGGGTGCCCTGCCCAGCAGGCAGCTGCCGCCCAGTTGCCATGGCACAGTCAGTACAAGCAAGTTGGCAGATCTCCCCATTTTCAAAGAAAAGCAGAAAATGCTATTTTTACTATTTTTATGCTAAAATCCTCTGATTTTTTTAAAGTTTGACCATTTAAAATCCAAAGTTGCAGAACAACTGCACCGGCCACCTCGTGGCTGGTCAGGCTGCAGTGAACCTGGGGCGCAGGACACGGTCTGCAGCTCTGGGCCCGCTCCACACGCGTTTCTTTGCGGGCATGAGTGAGGTCTCAGTGCCATATTCTTTGACAAATTCCTGTGCGGAACACAGTTCCTCTGAAGGCATCGTGTCTTCACAGGTGAAGATGTCGCTCGTAGTTACGGCCATTTTCTTCCATTTCCATTTAACGTGAGTTTCTAAAATGGGATGAAACCACTCCCCACCCACCCACCCACTGAAATTCACTTTTTTTCATGGCTTCAGTAACTTCTGTTTTATCAGAAGTATTTCAAATTGTGTCACCTTGGAGATACAGTGGCCACTGCATTTCATGTCGTCTGAGGAGGACAGATGCCCCCAGTTTACTCAGAGAGGGGAGCAGGCTGCTGGTTTCGGGTGAGAGAGTCCTTATGGGGGGCCTGTGACAGGTCCGTGACAAGCCCGTGAGGAGATGTTACCGGCGGCAGGAGCGAGGGGAGGGACGGGCCTCTTCCTCTCTGCTCTCCTTTGTAAGGACCGGCTGAAGACATGCAGCCTTTAACCATTGACCGTTTTACCAAACTCCATTTAGAGGTTTAAAACTGAACACAGCAACTAGAGGCTATAAATGCAAAACTACTCATTCCCCTATAGAGCGACACTTGCTTCTTAACTACTAGATTTTAGGAGCAGAAACTTGAGAGAAATGAACGCTTTTTAGGAATCAACTGCCAAGATGGAAATATTAATAATACACGGCTCTGTGTAAAAACAATCACTGATCACTTCCTGCTGAGCAAACTTAGTGTTTTCAAAATTCAAGATGCGCTGGGCTTCAGATGCTTGACATTTGTGAGAGGCTCACCCTACCTTGAAGATGAAATCAGCCATCAGAGGTCCTGGAATCTTAAAGGTTTCCCTCTCTGAGCCCCTCTGAAATTCAACTGTCGTGTTTTCTACAACAAAAACTCCAGGACTGTTGAAGATGTGTTCCTCTTTGCTTCCTTGAAGTGTTTTTGATTCAATAACTGAAATGCAAAAATAAAATTTAAATGAGAGGACTGCCTTAAAAGCATTTTATTTCAAAACATATTTTGCTACATATAATAGCTACGATACTCAACACAATATATACCCTTAGTTTACAAACACCCATTTATATTGGTGGAATAAACACGTAAGCTTTTTAGTTGTCCACAAAAAAGGAGCCAATGAGGGTGCTCGGTCCAGTTAGGTCTACTCAGCCCTTTGCGGTCATTTCCACAAGGGGAAGGCAAAAATGTCTCTTTCTTTATATTTTTCATGATGCAGCTATAACCCAGACTAAAGCTACATTACTCATCACCCATTCAGAAGATCTTCAGCCTAGTCTTGTTTTAGACAAAACCACAGTGAATTCTGAATTTTCCTTTTAAGAAAAAATCTTTTTATTATTTTGCAATAATTATGGATTCACAGACAGGTCCTGCGTGCCTTTCATCCAGTTTTGCCTGGTGGGGTGGTCACATCTGACACCTACTGTGCAAGACCGAGACCCAGAAATTGCCATCAGTACTCTGCGTGCATACAGTCCGATGCCACTGTGTCACACGTCACCACAGTCAAAGCGCCCACCCGCTCCCCCCCACGAAGCGCTCTCTTGCGCGAGATACACAACCTTGTCACTCACATTTGCTTCTATATGAATACAAGAGCTTTTATATCTCCTAGAGAAAAATGCCAACAGTCTAACCAAAACAGCATTTCTACTTCATTGAAGTGATTTCTTTCCTTTCTTCTTCTATTTTGCAAATGTCACCACATTTAAGAGACCTGGTCTGAGGTGGAGAGAGGCAATTGAAAAAGAAAGCGTGGCTGGAGGCTGGGGCCGCTGCGTTTCGGGCCTCCGCTCCTGGTCCTCTGTCTTGGGCTCTCCCTGCTGCCTGGAGCAGAAAATCTCCCGTGTCCTCCTTCACTCGGAAGCCTATGCTTACATCGCTGCTATATGTGCTGCTGCTTTAACCATCTCGACTCCATTCAGTGTCAAACTCAGAAATGGAGAACTGGTAAGACAGGACCGAGTGGCCTGGCGTAGGGGCTGCAGCCTGCGCGCTGCCGTGCGCCCCCTGCTGTCCTCGGCTGGAGTCCTTGGGCCACTGCAGCAGCCACAGCAATTCAAGCGCCCTGGACAGACTGCATGCCAGGCATTAGGAGGCATCCCCGATTATCCCCGATTATCCCCGATTATCCCCGACAGGCAGGCTGGGAACTTTCCTGGGAAAATTCAAAGGCTGGACAGGAGCTACCTGCTCCGCAGAAGTCATCAGCGGTCAAAGAATAACGCTGGCCACACTCAGGCACGCACAACCCCAACCGCTTTGGCCCTGGTCTCCGCGACCGCAGTAGATTTTTGAAAAGCATGAGATTAAATTCATTTCCTAGTTCCAATGAAGATATAAAACTGGGTGTTATAAAATGAGCTGTCAGTAAAAATGAGATGGGAAACTCGAGAGCGCAGGATGGCCCTCCACTGGATGAATCAGCCCCTCAGAGTAAAAGGAGGAAAACCAATGAGCATTCAGCCAATATCAGAACACAAAATGAAGCCGGACAAAACCCATCCTCAGAGAAGGCATGCAAAACCCCGAGTTTCTAGACTAAAGTTTTGCCTGCAGTGACTTGATTAAATTCCAATAGTGTCAATGGATTCTGCATCTGCACTGGGGCTGTGATCGCTTTACCACGGGCTTAGGCTTCTGATCACAGCTCTCCAGGTATCCCCAGGCTGCAGTTATGGCCGGGGTGTCAGGTCTGGGAAGGCGATCAGGGCGGAAGGGAAGACCTGTAGGACATCCAATCCCTAAACCAAAGGCCAGCATTTCTGTGAGTCTGGTTTCAGTGTTTGGTTCTTTTATGCCAAGTCTATTCCATTACTTCAACAGCGTCCAAGATCTTTAGTGATGAGAACAGGAGGCTGAAGGAGCAAAACCAGTTTTCAAGAGCACGTGAATTCCCTGAAGCATTCTTTTCCCCCACGGAACCATGTGCTTATCAGAAGGTGTCTTCACTGCACAGAACGGGGAATAAAGACAGGGGAAGTGATTTGAGGAAGATGGATTTTACGGATGCAAATCTTTGGTTATCTGCACTAACAAAGCCACTGTGATGAGTCCACAGTGAAGTGGAGGCTGCTGTAGTTCTTCAAAGGTTGTCAATTTTATTGGTAGTAAACGTACTTTTCCCTTGTGCTTGTACCTCTTAAAATCAGTGACAGAAGTTTGTGAAAATCAGCAATTCAGATGACGCGCTGGCTTAACACCTTTCTTAAAGTGTCTGTCAGTTTCCGGCCTTCCCACAGTTAACCAAAGCCCTGTGTTGACAACGTGCGCCTGATGGCTCATGAGAGCCCCCGGCCCGCTCGCAGCTCATCAGATCTCAAGCTCCTGCTGACCCCTGCATGGTTTCAGCAACAAGCTGGCTGGTGCTGGGTGGAGACCCCAGGAAGCTTACAAACACCCCCAACTGCTATGAAGGGGGAGGATATGAGCTTCCTTTCCCGATGCCCCTGCCCACTTCTTTGCCACCAAGTATTCATTCTACTTATTCTGTTTACTGTCTGGTTGTTCTGCCTTTAGAACTCATAAAACTCTTTTTGGAGCAGAATTTTTGCGGATTGCCTGTAGTGTAAGAAAAGCAGGCCCTGTCATGGCCTATTTTTGTTTTCTGAGACATCTTTTTGATATGCCATACCATTCGCATGCCTTAAAACTCACCCATTTAAAATGTTGCTGGGTGGTCTCAGTCTATGCACAGGGTGGTGAAACCATCGCTGTGATGGAGGTCCAGAACATTTTTGCCCCCCAGAAGAAACCCATGTTCATGAGCAGCTGGCTCCCCCTTCTTCCCACCAGCCCAGCTCACCCCAGCCCACTTTCTGTCTCCACAGACTTGCTTCCTCTGGATATTTCATATAAACGGAACCATACAACATGTGGCCTTCGGCGACCGCGTCTCTCAGCGCGGCGTGTCCAAGGACCATCCGTGCCCCAGCGTGAAGCGGTATTTCAGTATTTCAGTCTCTGTTATGACCAAATAATATTCCACAAATGCCACATTTACTTAGCCACCCATCAGTGGCACTTGAGTTGCTTTCACTTTGCAGCTATTACAAATAACACTGCTACGAATATGCAGCACTTTGTATCTTTTAATCCAAAATGGTACTTGCCAACGTGATCCCTCAAATGATTCGTAAAATTTTGATCTGGATGATTTTTACCTGTTCTCAAAAATCATATTCACATGTACAAGGATGAGGGTTACTCTCATCAAGAGATGGGGGCTTTGAGCCATTTTAAGGAAGCTTAACAAACCTTTTAATGTTTCATTACAGAGAAAGCCTTGAAGGAAGTGACCATTAAGTAGCTGTAAACCTTCTAGTATTTTAGTTAAAAACAATCAGTCACAGCCTTTTAGTCATAATTCATGTAACGAAGTGGAGGGTAAAAAAGGAAGCTTTGCAATAATTGCTCACTCACCCTCACTGGCCCAAAGGTGTCCCCTAATTTGAATCATAAGGTAGGGCAAAATTTCTTTTTTTTTTTTTTAGGATTTTAATCTATGTTATTGGTTACCTTAAACCTTTTTATTTAAACATTTTGATGTGAACTTTTCTCAAAGGACATTTCTGTTGGGATGTTAGTACCAAATCAAAAACACACCAACAATACACATATGCGCATCCACGTGCACAAACGCATGCGTGTGCACACACACACACACACACACACATACACACATATGTACAAGCTGACAAAAATGTAAGATGCGTACGACCCTCAGAAATTTTTAAAATTTTACAGTCTAAGATGGTAGCTCAGAAAAAGTGGCAAAATACATACTTTGACCCAGTGGACCTTGATATGTGTGGTTTTAAAATAATTATACTGCTTTGTACTTTTTATGGAACGAGAGAGCTGAGCACAGTAAGCGTCTTGATGGCCAGGGGGCCAGTCTCAGCAGAGACCCACCTTCCTCTGAAAAAGACGGAGGGAGCCCTGCATGTGGCCGCAAGGAGACCTTGGAGAGCAGCAAGCTTTGGTACTTCCGGTTCCTTTGGGTCCTAGGAGACCAGGAGAACTGAGACAGGGCTGTCAGCTGACTTGGGCCAAGAAGCAGTGTTCAGATGCAGCCGTTTGGGAAACCAGCGAGGACCCCACGGACCCTGCAGACCTGCGGCTGCGAGGCACTCCAGCAACTGCACTGGTACAGTTCTGTGTTTTAAATTTTGTTTTGTTTTGCTTTTTCCCAAATCACTGAGATTTCCTGAAGGCTCTTGAACCCTAGGTTACTCTCCACATAGAAACAGTTTATTACATATAACTTGATTTCCTCTCCCATGAGGAGATTAATCCCAAACTGGTATATATCTCCCTGGGACATGAGAACAGAAAAACTCAGGATATGCACCAATCCCTAGGGGTAGAGATGATCTCAGAGGGGCGGGCAAAATCCCGGAGATGTCTGCGTACCCACACATGAATGCAAAGAAAGTGGGGGGATCTTTTGGCTCAATAAACCTGCAGGAAATAATAAAAATGTTAAGGTTAAATGCTACTTACAGAGACGTGCAGGCCCTTTCACTGTGATCCTCACGCTTCGACTGCCCAAGGGAACAGCAATTACATGTTCTTCCCCTAGGAGAGAGCACGGAAAAATGCACTGAAACGTGTGCACTCAAGGCCCATCGAAATAAGCAAGTGAATCAGAACTGGGGGCACTTGAAAAGTGTTGCCCCTGTATTTCCATCCCACAGTCAAGAAATCTTTGGGAACCATGGACAGGGCTTATTAGTACAACTCACATGATTTCATTTAAATAAATTTTTTAAAAAACATTGAGGATAAGTTTAAAACAGATGCCCTGGCTCCAAGTGTCCTTAGGCCCCCTGAATGTGCTCTGACTGGGGACGGGGAGCCCCAGCGAGGGGCTGCAGGCCCAGTCTGGCCACATGCATTCATTTAGGGCTGCTTTACAAAGACGGAGTTGGTACTTGTGAAAAAGACAATGTGCAAAGCCGACTGTATGTGCTATCTGGCCCCTCACAGAAAAAAGGGTGATGATTCCTGGCCTACATAATTACCTAGTGGAAACCTTGGTCCTCCTAGATACTTTTTGTCATGCTCTTACACGTTCTGAAATTAATTTCATGGCCACATAATAGTCTAGGCTCACATATGAAATTCTATCCCCCTAGATTTGAAAATTAAGTATGATACTAAGTTATAGTAGTACATTATCAGCAATGCAAATTAATTCAAGCAGATTTTTTTTTTTAATTACATATATGTTTTGAAAATAACATATAAATTAGAAAGCTTTCCTGAGCTTAAGAAAACCTATTTGGGTGAATCAACTAGGCTTGGCACTCTTCCAAAATCTTTGTGAACTTAGGCTGTAGTGTGTTTGAAAATCATTTATCCTGCGTGTGAGTGTATGTATATGTGAGTGTGTGTCTGTGTGTTCCAAATATCACCCATGACAATCACGTTCAAGTGGAACTTCTCAGACCAGAGTGTCTGGCATTTTATTTGAGCCAGAATGGCTGAAACTTGGAACCCATTTTTCTGGTGTGTAGACGGCAGTGAATCCCCAGCTGCTCACACATAGCCCTTGAAAAGAAATGCACGCTGTGGGGAAGTCGGGCAAGGTGTGGAATGGAGGGTTTAAGTCTTCAGATTATGCAAAAACAATCTATCCTCTACAGTTATTAATGTCTTGTCCTCCTAAACTGCAGTTCCCCTTCACCCTGGCGGCCCTCTAGGCCAAGTGGGTCCCCCTGCATAAGTCTCTGCCATACCTTCATAGGGCGGTACCTCCTTGAATTGTCTAGGAAGTTGTTAAAACCCAGGTTCCTGCCCCGCCCACGCTCCGGGTGGAGCCCACGAGTTTGTCGCCCGCCTGCTCCCGGGTGAGGCTCCCGCCCTGGCTCGTGGGCCTGTTTTGAGTAGCAGGGACACAGGGCAGGGGAGAGAAAAGGCCAGGCAGGTGGTGAGGACAGTGAGGGGGACCGTCCCCGAGTCAGACACTCCTCAGCAGTCCTTCAGCGTCTATGGTCCCAGCTCTGCCAGAGGCGGGCGAGAGCCCTGGAGAGGGGCTGTCAGAGGGGCCGGGATCCCGAGGGCTGTAGTTGGGCAGGGGTTTGGAAGTGCTTTTTGGACGAAGCAGTAAAATGGCTGTTAACGGGTGTGTAAAAGTAGATTCAGTCGAGTAGTGGGCACAGAAGGTTGTATTTGGGAAACAGATGATGATGGAACAGCAGAGGCAGGGAGTGTGCAGTTTTCCCAAAACTTGTCAACTTGTCAGTAAAGGTAGGTGAGAGACTGGGGTGGTAGCTGGAGACGTGGAGCATTACAGACACACACATACACACACACACACTCACACACATACACACACATCTATAGACACATAACACACATATGCATCTATATACACATAGACACAAGTTTTTTAAATTGTACTTTTGTTTAAGCTGGAAGAGATCTGGTCGCGTTTACCCAGAAAGGGGAAGGGAGACCGGGGAGGCGGGGGGCCAGAGACAGAGACGATAAGGAGGGCGGGGATGACGGGCGTGGTGAGACCTCGGTGGGAGCAGAGGGGCCGGAGCAGACGAGGGCGTGATTCGCCCGGGAAAGGCTGTCGCACCCGCGCCTCTGCTGCGGGAGGGCCCAGGAAAGCGCGGTGCGGCTGCAGGGATTCTGGTGGTTTCTGTTTTACTGAGAATTTTTTCTCAATTTTCTTTGGAGTCTAGCACAGAATCCGTTTTTGTAAATGGTCCATGAATACTTGAAAAGGCAGCAGCACAGCCCCTCCAAATGCAATGCTCACTAACGCCTATTAATGCAGCCCTAATAAACATATCGTGCAGATCCTACACATAATTTCTGCTGGCTTAAGTGTGCTGACGTCTGTCCTGGAAGTTTTACTTTTTGCCATGTTTTCCCATATACCTATAGCGTGTTTTTTCTCTGTGCATTTTGAGGTAATGGTACATGTGTACAAACTTTTAAGACTTTTTTTTTATTATAAAATACTCATCTCTCTTGTTTTTTTTGCCTGAAATTCCATTGGATCTGACATAAATACCAATGTCATGCTTTCTTTGTCCTGCTTGTTATAATGGGCCACGTTTATCTCCCAGACAAATGACCCCTGGGAGATTGCCCCTCAGTCTGGACCTAGACCCAGAGCTGCAGAGAGTGCAGGAGGGGGTCAGCTGGCACTGAGTGGGGGCAGGCTAAGCACAGACCACTTAACACTTCTGTTACATGTCTGCACGGGAGGCTACCCCTCAGGGCTGATTCTGAGGCTGCTCTAAAATATTATACCTCCTACTGGTACAGAATCCAGTGGTTGAGAGCAGAGCAGATGGGGGAAAGGCACCCTCCCTGGCCCAGCCTGCAAGGTGGACAGTAACAGGTCTACGTCGAGGAACGCCCAGATTTGGAGGTAGTGCTGGGAAGTGGTTCCAGCTGAGCGCTTTCATTGTTTGGAACTATTCCAAAACTTTCCGACTGAAATTTGGGGTAAGAGATCCTTAATGCTGCTGTCCACCACTTCTTGGCCCATTTTAAATATCACTTGCACTATTTTTTATTCTATAAACTACTGGGAGAGGCAACATGGAAGAGTGGTTAGCATCACAGACTGCCGCTTAAAACTGCTGTGTGACTGTAGGGAAGTTTCTTACCTTCTCTGTGCCTCAGTTACATCCATAAAATGAGGATAATAAGAACACCTGTTTCAAGGGGATGATGAGAGGGGCAGTGAGGTAACATGCTAAGGGCTCAGAAGAGAACTTAACCACCAGTAGAGCCTGTCAGCGTAAGTTATTAAGACCACCCTGAGCCATCACCACGCTCCCAGGCATGAAGCTCACCTCCTTCATTCTAACAAAAAACTACTTGTGCAATGAAGAAAACAGAAGTTTTGCAAGTTTAAGTGACTTGCTTGGTATCGCAGTGTTCCTAAGCAGCAGAGCTGGGGGCACAACCAACACCTACTATCTTAAGCCTCCTACTGTGAGTGCAAGTCATAAACCGTGCACACCGACCCCCACGACTGTGCACACCCGACCCCCACGACTGTGCACACCCGACCCCCACAACCGTGCAGACCCAACCCCTAAAACAGTGTACACCCGACCCCCACGACTGTGCACACCGACCCCCACAACTGTGCACACCCGACCCCTAAAACAGTGTACACCCGACCCCCACGACTGTGCACACCTGAAACCCTCTCCCTGGCCTGCTCAGTACAGACTTTTACTTACCGCTTCCACCCCGTGTAACCTCCTGCTCACTGGGCTGACCTGCGGGCCCCTGGCCCTGCTTCTGCTGACCTCCCTCCCACACGCGGTGCTCAAGGCCAGCTGTTCTGTCTCATTTTTCCATGTGTCATTTCCTGCTGCAGCTCACAGCTTTGCTAAGTAGCGAGATGTTCAGGAAATAAATTTTCCACATGATATTAACTCATAAATAAACATCAGCTTCAGCACAGAAAGGCTGTAATTTATATCAGATTGTCTAGTTTCACCGTAAACTCCAACAAGGTCTCTGTCACCCGAAACACACACATTCCGTGAAAACACGTGGAGACACTGGGCCCACTCTCCCTTTGACAACCTCAGGCCTGCTTTTCTATTCCTGGTTTGTTTTTGATTATTTTAAATTTGGCTGGTTGGGTTCTTTGGCAGAACACAAGTTTCTGTCAGGCGTTTTTCATCCTGCTTTACAGGACCCTGCATTTTTTTCTCCTTCTACTCTTTGGTGCAAACACCCCCCCACCCACACACACACATACCCTCTGTTCTCAAGGAACATAGGAGTCTTTTTAAGAAGAAGAAATGAATCCTGCTACTACAGTTGAGAAAAACCCTGTGGAGAAAATGAAAATAATGCTTATTTCCCTTTAAAATGAGGTAATAGGTGTGAAAGCATTTTGTAAATTGAAGAACAATGGTGTCCGTTAATGTTCTCACGTACCCACAGCCACCTGCCACCAGTTAGACTAAAATAAGCTTGTGAGACATTGTGCAGAACAGGGACTAAACTTCTCAAAGCAGGCCTGGAGTCAGGTTCACCTGTCACTCTGCGGGTAGTGGGGGCTTGTGGAAGGTGTGCGGCCACACTGATTCTGCGGTACGGCCGCAGGACTGTCTATACACCGCCTTTCGCAAATGGAGGCGGGCTACATGAAATGTGCCCACAGGCAAAGATGGGGAAGGTTAAAACCAGGAATTGACAACCGTTGTTTAACAGGCAGAGAAGGGACACGGCAGGGATCTGACCAGTGAGGGCAGCCGGCTGCGAGCCGCATACCTGCTCAGCAAAGACCTGCCCTGGGCCACTCCCTTCCGTGCTCAGGCCTCTGCTATTACAGTTTCTTACTAATGATCTGCCATCGAGTGTCCTCAGCCCTCGGCTCTTGTGTTTATGCAGAAACGTCTGCTCCAACCTGGAGGTATGTCTCTTTACTGGCTTAAATTGCCTTTGCCACCAAAGAGGATGGTGGCAGGCGGAGGGCCTGCTCATGCACGCCTTCACGCTCACGTCCAGGACTAGCTCTGGACAGCACGTGGACAGGGACTGTGTTACACACAGCATCAGCGACAACTTTCTGTCCAGATGTT